GTGCACAGTCCTAAGGAGTATGTACATTTAAAAAAAAAAATATGGCACTATATACAGTTGTTAAAAAAAATTAAAAAATAAATAAATTAAAAATATATATATATATATATATACACACACACATACATACATGAGTCTGCCCACACTGGCATTTTACAAACAACCCCAGAGGAGTACATGAAGACAGTTTTGTTTTCAGTGACTGACAGAAGTTTATGTAGCCCTTCAATGTTTCTGATGTGTATATCTACAGTATGTAGCTCAGAGAGAAAAACATCATCAGCACTATTAGTATTATTAGACTGCAAATCGATTGCATGTTATGAATGATGACAAACAGATAGCGACAGGACGAAAAAGATCTGTCGTGTACAGAAATATGAACCTAATGAACCGACAAAGTGCACAAAGTAGGATGGAAGCACAACACACTGCAGTTTTAACTGCTTTTGACAGTCTCATCGATCAGGGAAAATCCCCACACTCACATGCTGACATAAGTGTTACCATGGTTACGCAACAATTCGGGTAAATATATACACCACTTCCTTCCTAATTCCTAATATTCAATTTCTTCCGGAACAGCTCACAACCAGCAGATGGATTTAACAGTAGGTTAATACTATTTGATAGCTTTTGAGATCAAGCTAAAAATCACATAGCTACTATCAAAAATTACTGTAGTTGGACAGTTTGTTTTCTCAGCCTGGTTGTTTGATCCACACCAGGGTTTGATTAAACCAAACTGGACAGATTAGGTATGTAAGCACCCTAAGAATTTCTGCAGCATAACAACATGGACATTTACGAAATATATTGAGTACCCACAGATATGTTCTAAACTCTCAGGAATTGCCCTGAGTGCCGTAATGATTTATTACCAGATGGTAAACTGTGGGATAGCCGGGGTATGGATCGATGCAGCGCGATCCCTATAAGTGAGTGGACTCTTTACTCTAAGCTTTCTGCCAGTCCTCAGTGGATAAAAAAAAAAAAAAAAGAGTAAAGGTGACAACGTGTGAACTCCAATGATCTCACCTGTCATGTTGCAGTATACCTGTGTGGGCCCCAGGGGACCACTCCCATCTGGATCAATGGAATAGAAGCCAGAGGAGCTGCCAATCAGCTTGTAGGCCTCACAAGATGACTCGTAGATGGCTGGAAGGAGCAGAGCGGGGACAGAAATCAAGTTATTCCTCCAAGATTCAGCCCACGCTGCAATAGCTTTCTACTGGCTGAGTAATCCGACAGCACACAATCTTTATTTATGAAATGGTTATAAATATTAAAATACTGTTTTCATGCTAAAAAAAAAAGTGAAGTGGTGGTTGTTGGTGACATATGTTTCTGTTCTATCTAAATCCACTTTTTAACAGTTGTTGCTCAGATGCACACTATGGTAAAACAAACTATTTGGATATATGACTGCTACAGGCCTGATCAGAATGTATTCACTATACCATTTTAAGGTTTATCCACAATCCAGTTAAAACAGTGCTTCTCTAAATGTATATATTTGTTGAATGTTGTATATATATATGTTGTTTGTATAATATGTCGTTTGTATATCTGGA